ATGAAGACAAGAAAATGGGGATACCTGCAAGTGAATGAATATAAATCTCATATTGCCTCTAATTACAGCGACGGCTGGTATTTATTGCCAGCTTTATTAGAAAAAGTATTGTAGGGGATGCTAACTCAAACTTCCGCCAGCGTCAGACTGGGTTGTTTTATGGGGGTATCCGCTATGGTATCGTATTTCTGCATGTCTTTTCAGCATTGCTAATTACTGAGTTAAACCTTTGGTTTTTGTTGTTCTTTAGTCGGATTGGTGAAAACCTTGAACAGGCTCTGCCCAGCCTGACGGAGCTCATTCTTACCAACAACAACATTGCTGAATTGGTAAGCTATCGATGCAGGATAAATCTAAACAAGCTTAAATTTGTGTTTGTCATCTTTCTAATGAACGTTTTTCCTAAGTAGTGTCAGATGCTTTTGGTAATAGTTGGTACTAGTCGTTTTTCTAACTAGCCTTTTTTTCTTTTTCTTTAGAGTAACATCAGATGGTTTCGGTAGTAGTTAATGGCATACATATTTTAATGAACATAATTTGCAGCATGCAGTGGAACAGCAGTCACAAAGTCTTAGTGATTTTCCTGTTAAACTAATTGTAGTAATTCTAATTGGTCTCTAAAATAGATACGAGTTCAGGAACTTTGTTTTCAAATGTTTGATTCTCACTAAATGGACTTAGGATTTCTTACTGTGTTCCCATTACGTAGGGTGAACTGGATCCGTTATCAACTATTAAATCGTTGACTTACCTGAGGTATGTAATCTTAAAAAGAAAAGCTACTCTTTCTCTGCTGTTCGAACTCTGCTGCTGGCCTGGCTCTTTGCTTTGATCTGGAATCGTCTCCTTTTTATGAGCTGTGACAGATTCTTTATGCTTAAAAATGGAATCGATAAACAACTTTTCCATTATGCTTCAGAAATACCTGGTATTTAATGGGTGAGGCTTTATTTTACTGACAGACTGTTGGACCAATGAGATGTAACATCTCTACAATAATCAATATGCGAGGACTGAAGTAACCTTAATCTTTAAGAAACTAAAAACTAAAGGTTTAAACTGTTGTTACAAAATGCTTTAAAATACATGTAAACAGTGACTTTTCAGTAACGTTACATTTAGTGCAAAGGACAAATAAAGAAAAGCAATTTGTCCCGTGATTTTTTTGGTTGATCAGTGTCCAGAGTAGGAAATGTGATGGTTTAGTTATTTGTTTGGGGGTTTTAATATTTTGGTGTAAAATTTATGTTCTTCTTCAATAAAATCGGTTTCATTGATAAAATACTTTAAAGTGCAAGTTTTTACTATATTTTTGTAATATCAGAGAACGCTGTCACTAGGCTTATTTAGTGGTGTTATTTGTTGTCTGTTATAGCAGAAGGCACATGAATGCATTTTAAGTATATTAATGTATTTCAATATCGGTATATTTTAAAATATTTTATATTAAGAACCTCTTTGTAACCTTTATTTACTTTGTAGCATTTTAAGGAATCCTGTAACAAATAAGAAGCATTACAGATTGTATGTAATCCACAAAGTTCCCCAGGTCAGAGTGCTGGATTTTCAAAAAGTGAAACTCAAAGTAAGTCTGCTTTCTGCTGATTCAGCACAAGATGAATACCCTTTTTTTTCTTGTTACATTCTTGAAAATTCAGCTGTAACGGTGAGCTTTTTGCCATAGTTGTAAATTTTATTGAAACTATATGTCATAAGTGGCTCTAAAACAGGCTCTTTGTTTTCCTTCATGGTTTCATTCTGTTAACGATATAGTCTGTGTAGTTATATTTAATTAAGTTTTACTACCTTTGTTTAGTCTGATTCTTTTCTGGCCCTCTGGTGTTGGTAGAAAGACAGACCTCTAGAGAAAGAAATGAGCAATCGCAACAGAGCCCTCTGCTTTCAGTGAAGATGCAGTGTGGGAAAGAGCTCTTACTTTTTAAGAGCACTGGGTTGATACGTCTTGAGTCTGAGCATTTGGGCAATGTTTATGTGCTTGTTCTTACGTCTGGTCTCCCCGTACCACTGTTCACTGATGAAGATGAGCCAAAGCGTCTTTCTTTACAAAGACAGAAGCTTTGCAAAATGCAATGTTCTTAAATTAACTTTGTGTGTGTGGTATCGCTGTAGGAGCGACAGGAGGCAGAGAAAATGTTCAAGGGCAAACGGGGTGCACAGCTTGCAAAGGATATTGCCAGGAGAACAAAAACGTAAGATAAAAAAACAAATTTACACTGGCATTCTCCTTCAGAAACACCACTTTCTTTGTGTGAGGTATTAGGCAGTGAACTGAAATACCAGCTGCTGGCAGGATGCCTTAAAAGCTTTGGTAGCCACAGTGCCTTGTCCAAGCATCCCGATTTTTGGATGGTGGTGAATACATCTCAGGAATATTTTTGAAAGAGAGATTTGGTCAGGGTGGATTGATTTAAGCCAACAAGCAGGAAACTTTCATTTTATTTTTTCTTTTTAACTGCAGAGAGGTGGCCATTGTTTATTTTGTTTGGTGGGTTTTTTGCTAGATAACTGGTAATTAAAATTTTTTGTTCTGCCAGGGAATATAAACTGTAAAATCTGCTGTAGCTAGGAGGATAAATGAAAATGAAAATCTTAAGAATTAAACTAAATAAGCATATATTCTAAAGTGGTACGTCATATGTTTTGTTTAATCTTTTCTGAACCTGTTTGGAATTCAGAATTCGGATCATGTATAGGAACAGCATTTCCAAATTCATAGTTAAATAAAAAAACATCTTGAACATACTTAGTATTTAAAACGATAATAGATGGACTCTAGCTCTAGTTTATGAGTAGCAAAGGGTTCAGGTCCGTGATAGTTTTAGAACAAGTAGGTGATTGAACTAAGCAGCTCGCTAAACAGATATGAAGAAAATCTTTCTATAGCTGCAAAAGAGGTTGCAGCACTGATGCTGGGTCAGCACTTCAGGAAATTCTTTCCAGCTGCTTGCTCAGTAACATCCATTTTCACAGACTACAGATTTTTTTTTTCTTAAAGCAGCAGCAGATAACCCTTTTTCTTTTGAGCCTTAAGATTACATCCAGTCTAGTATAGGCTTTCATATAGGCTGTTGTAATATATTAGACATAGGAGAAGAGGAAACCGAGTTTCAGTTACTCTGTATTTATCCACCCTGCTTTTGTAACGGCGACAGACCACCTGAGTGTTCAACAACATCCAAATCGAACAGCTTTTGTCAACTGCTTAATTTATAAAGTTACGGTCGCCTCTGTTTATGAGGAAGATGAAAAGGTGGGGGGGAGATGGGACAGCGAGGACAAGTTGCTGGTGTTTCTGAAGGAGGCAATTCTTCACTGTATCAGTTTGTTAACAAAGATAAGATACTACACTTGATTGAATGAAATGCTTCCAAACCTAGTTTGGAAGCTAGAGAAGCAGGTACTCTTCAAAGGGTGTAATGGGTCTTTATTTTTTTCCTTTGAAGCTTCAATCCAGGTGCTGGTCTGCCAACTGACAAGAAGAAAGCTGGGCCCTCCCCAGGGGATGTTGAGGCAATTAAGGTAAGTGTGGCAGGACAGCAGAAGCAGAGGAGAAAAACTAGCACGGATCCAAACTGAACAAAAGTTTCCTTCCTCCTGGCAACCCCGGACTCTGTTCAGATGAACAGAACAGTGTGTCTTAACTTCTGTTTTAGGTACTTTTTCTGTAGTGTTTTTTTGTGTTATGACACACCTGGGTTTTGAGAACTGTTATTAAACTTTGGTCTGAGCTTAGAGCTCTCCCAGGATAGAGTAGCTTGTTTGATAAGAGGTGATGTAAGATTGTGCTGTGTCATTTCTAGAATGTCCTAGAATTTTGTAGAGCTTTCTATAAAAGCTTAGCTTCATTTAACTGGAAAAAAATCGTGGGTTTACGTTTGTTCTAAACAGACTGAAATACTGTATGTGAAGATTCATCGATTCAATTCAAGATTTGTCTGTTTTTTAGACTGCTATAGCAAACGCCACAACTTTGGCTGAAGTGGAGCGACTGAAAGGCTTACTACAGGCTGGTCAGATTCCTGGCAGAGAACGAAAATCAGGTCACTTTCTACTTCTGTTACTTGTGTTTCCCAAACAGAACCTACCTCTCTTTATAGCTTCCAGATGCTTTACATGATCTCAGTAGGGAGTTACGCTGGAAGGGCCAAACAGTTAGCGAGTTGAAAAAACTGTTTAAAATGAGCGTAATTTTATAGTCTGAATAATTGAGGATTGCATCCGTAAGACCGTGCAATCGGCGTATTAACCGCCTGGCCTCTGGAGCGCAGTTCAGGGCTGTTAGACCTGGCCTCCCTCGAGAATGAGTTGCCAAACGTCAGCCCTAAGCGCTTTGCTGTATTGGCTAACTCCAAACAGTTCGTCCCAGTTAATTACAAAAAAAAAAAAAAAGACATTAATTACAAAGTATGTCTGGACTCTGTTCTGAGCATTAGTGCCTCAGGTGGGGGTACGGGAAGGTCTCGGTGATCTCTGAGAGGTCTCTGCATGGACAAATCTAAACTGCAGACCGGCAATATTGCCTCTTCTCTGTGTATTAGAGCTACGTGGATTTTTTTTTTTCCTGTAGTGTTTTTTTTAATTCGCGTTGCTACTGCTCCTCTTCAGAGGGGTGAAAATTAACATTGCCCCTGGGTGGGGGGAGAGAACTAACGCTTGCGGTAACTGCCCTGAAACTCTGACGTGTCCTTTCAGGCCCGTCGGAGGACGCCGAAGAGGAAATGGAGGAAGACACGGTTCCCAACGGATCCTGAGCCCGGCTGTGCCCGGGCCCTGGCCGCGCCCCGCCAGCCCTTTCCTGCCCCGGGGCCGCTCCCCCCGCAGGGGGCTCAGGCCGGCCCCGCCGCGGGCAGCCGCCCCCCCGTACCCCTCCCTTGCGCGGTTCGGCGTTCAATAAACGAACGTTTCCTTTTTCTCCCCGCGGTGCGGCGTCCCCTGCCCCGGCCGGGCGGCAGCGGAGCGGGGCTGCGGACGGGGCGGCCATGGCGGCGGGAGAGGGAGGGACCCTTTCCGCGCATCCCGGTGGGCTCCGGGGCGCCCGTCAGCACTTCTCTCATTGGCCGGCGTAGCGGTGATGTCACCTCCATTTCCCGCTGCCGCCCTCCCCTTTGGCCCGGG